CTCATTCCCTGCCTGTTGCAGGCAGGACCCATATAGAAAGAGCCCAAGATATCCTGCCCCTGCCAAGGCTAGCCCCCTGTGTTCAGGCGGGGACAGCTGGAGGGCAGCTGGGACACCCCAGCACCACCCATGCCCCAGGGAGGCTGGTGCTCAACCCACCGCCATCCACAGGCCATGACCACATGTGGGGTACAGCCTGATGCAGGGACCAACAGAGACACCACGCTCTGTGAAATTCAGTGTTCACAGAGAGATGAGAGTTAGGGCAATTGTGTGGGGTGATTGTGGGAAACATAAGAAAACAACAAAGAGATCATTGGAAGGAAGAGGACTGTCCAAGTTTGTCAGGAATCATTTAATGGAGCTTAATTTTACCAAAAGCACTGCCACGTTTTGATGGGTATAAAAAGAGCCTTCCCAGTTGCTGGAGCCTTTGGCTAGCACAGCAGCCAAGGTCACCAGGGCCTCAAAGGCTGTTACGGAGGCCTGAGATCCTCAGAATAAGATTAGCATGTAAAATAAAGATTTGAAATACAGCTCCATCCTGCATGGGTCTCTTACACTGCCAGCTTCACAGCCACATGTCAGAGGAGAGCCTGCCCTACACCCCCTGAAAGCTGGGCCATTGTTTATTTAATCACAGAAGTAGGTAGGGCAAGTACAAAACCAAAATATCACAGTCACTAAAATAAGGTATTTTGTGTTAGAGGCCCAGATCCAAAACTGGTCTTGATATTAAAAAGGACTTTGCCAATACTGAAACGTTTTGTTGCAAACAGTGGGGAAAAAAAATAAGAAGTGTCTGCAACCACTGTGCCAGAGCACTGAAACCCAGCCATTACTGCTGGTCTTCCCTGTGCACACAATAACCCCTAATAGTTCAGAGCCTCTTCCCCGCAGCACTTGCTGTTCAATCTGCCATTCTTACCTCCGAGCAGGTCCTAAGCAGGGGACGCCCCACGAGGGGGCTTGGGGCTGGCTCAAAGTTCAGGAGAGCCAAGTCAGGTTCCTCTGCGTGCCCTTACACCTGCCTGCACGACTGCCCCAGCACCAGCGCTTCCACAGGTATCTGCCACTGCTCTCCTCCTGTCCAGCACACTCAAGGATCATTCCCAGAAGTATTGCCGCGGGAGACTGGTATCTATGGAAACTGTGTTTCCAAATGCTATTCCATCAACTTCTCCAGCACCCTAACACAATTCCTGAAAGGACGGTACAGCTCCTACCGATGCTGACCCGAAGCACCCCGCTCCACGGTAGGTAACATACCTGCTTGGGGAGGCAACACTGCCGGGAATCGCTGCGCTGCACACGAGGACGACATTTGTCTCATCAGAACTAATACCGGGCATATGGGGAAGCAGAGTAGCCATGCTGCCTGCCTGGGAGATGGGAAGCAGCCTCATTTGCAGAGGTGTCCAAGTTGTCAAAACAGCACCTGTGCTGACTGGTGCTGGCCCTCAGAGGGCTGGGGGAACGCTATCCAGTGGGCACAAGGCAAGCTCTGGGTACACAAACCTTTGTGTGTTGCTTTTGCCGATTCAAAACCTCACAATATTCTACTGGATTCTTCACGTTGAAATAAGGCAAGGGTTGGCTGCTTTATACTTTTAGAGTATGGTTTTCTAGCAACACTTAGGTCTTAAAAAGGCAGGCAAAATTTCTGTTATTTTAAATTATGTTCTAGCTGTGGGTAGAACATGGGAAAATCACATATTTTGACAGAGGAATGAGATGGGGCAACAGATCCAATTTTTATTCTCACTGGATTGCATCTAAACTCTCCACTTCCTTTTGTTATTTGATTCCAGTTGCAAAATCTATTAAATATAAGGAGGAATAAGCCAATTCTTTCATGAATAAATACAAAAACAGAAAGTGGATACACTACCTAAACATTAAAATAGTTCCCTTTGCAATTTCAGTTTACCTGAAAGGTAACTAAAAAAGATAACAAGTATACAATGAGTTTCTCATGTAATAAAAATTTAGCATCAAATTTGTGTTGTCAGGATACACTTGCTTTCAGTGAAAACAGTTCTTTACATCATGTACTGTGGTGAAGTGCACCCAAATGCCCAGGTTAAACTGGAAAAGCTCAACAGTTTCTACAAAATCACACCTTCCTTAAGGATGATCAGTTTGCATGTACAACTATGCCCCCCTCCCAAACCTGGGTACTTCTTCTTAGCAGCTATGCTTACAGAATTCAGCATGAAAGTGCTCAGTAGTACTATTATAAGCATGGCTAACACAGCCTGAGACTTTGCAGACTACATGACTGTGAAAGCACCAAAGCAGGAGCGTTATACAGGCCCATTTACTAAGATCAAGAGAAGTGCTAGAACTGACCTATCGTGTATGTAGAGTTACAAATTTCAAACTCAAGTTAGGCAAATGTCATGACAGGAGTTAATCATCACCTCTTGTGCAAGCACCCTTGCTTTTTCAGAGTCTATGTCTGGGACTGCAAGCAGTCTGGTAAAAGGGTTTGATGATTACAGCGTGGTGTGTGGATGCTCTTTCTTAGTGCAAAGGAACAAGTAGGCGGCAACAGCACATTAATAAACACGTGCAGTTAAGTCAAGGAGATGACAGCTGGTTTGGAGCTGCAAAGCATCATCTTCCTTCCCAGCACCCTGCCCACCTCTACTTTCTGTACTTCAAATAATTACACGTGTAAACCTCTAACTCAGGGACTCTGATCTCCTCTAATTCACTGTCGACCTCTGTTCACTACACACTTTTTATTGCAACATATATGAACCTCTTCACAAGCCCAGAAATTTCCTCTGTGTTCTGCAGAATGTAACAGACACAGATTAAATTTACGTATGCTGTCTTTCTATAATATATTCTCTAACAGCCATTTAGTGGACATATATCAACAGCTTATATGTAATGCCCACATGCACTCTTTCGGGCTCTAATGTTACACTTTTTTGCATTTATGGCATAGATTAAAGCTAAAGCAGTCATCACAAAATCTTGCTGAAATCCACTAAATGTCTCTTAACAGCCACCCCAAAACCTTACAAAAAGATTTCCACAACTCATCTGGGTGAGGGGAGCAACAGACAGGGGAAGGGCGGAGAGAACTCCTTCCCTGGACTAACCCACACAACAAACAGATAACAAGGGATCACATCTTACCTGGGGGGTTCTGGAGGAGCTTGGGCTGCTGGCCGCTGAAGACACCATGCTCACGTTGGGGTTCATACTTCTCTCTCTCTCGTCCTGATAGATACGATCCCGCTCCGAGTCAGGCAGGTTCAGGAAATTCTGCATTGCCCTTAAGTTTACCAGGAGGGACTGGGAAGCTGTCCTAGGGTCTTCTTCTTTACGCAGGATCTCTGACAACAAGCCCTGATTCAAAAAATTTAAAAAAAAAAAAAAAAAGAAAAAAAAAAAGGCAGCCCAGTCATGTGTTTGGTTGGTGTTGGTTTTTTTTAAACTCGTTTAGCGTAACCAGCTGGGTTGCGATACTGACAACCTACATCAGAAACTCATGGGCTCTCCCAGAGGGGTATTTTGTAGGAAAGTGTTTGTCTTCTGGGGGCTGGGGTTTATTTTGGGACTGTCCTATCCTGGCACTGTAATAAACTTCTGAGTATGGAGATGCTGGATAGGAAGGTAGTTGCATTGGGTAGAAGAAATTGCAGCTACCACCAGGTGCTTGCTGCAAATATTTTAGGAGCTGTTAGATCTCTCTCTCTCTCTCTTTTTACTTGAAGCTTGGAACACTTGGAAATCCTGTTCATCTTTGAAAAATCTGCCAAGGTTGGTAAATTTAGTTTCGACATTTAAACAGTGCAGGAGGTTTATAAAAACGTTTGGCTGGTTTTTGATGTTACAGTCCGTTCATTTGGGTTTGGACAGTCATTTCTGAGAGGAGAAAAATGGAGCAATAATAAAGCCTTAGAATCTAGCTGTAGGGATTTAACCCATTCTTTCATGCTTCATTTTAAAATACCATAGACCTCACCTTGCAACCATGAATGAACACCATATTCATCTAGTTTTTACAAAAGCCATTATTCAAGGAGGTAACCAGCGCAGCACTTCAAAAAAAAGAAAAAAAAGAAAAAAAAAGAACAAAAACAAAAACAACAACAACAAAAAATTGTAGAGAGACAAAAATGTAATTAAAAGAGGCTTAAATGACGGGATTAAATTTACACATAACTGTATGCACTCAACAGTTCCACGGATTATCTAGAAGTTAAAGGCACAACACACCAGCCTGGATCAGGCCCTTCAGAAACTACCGGGACACAACATGTGCCACCAGCTTCCCCCAGATGCCCCTTTGCATCCCACACATCACAAATGGGTATTTCACTCCAAAAACAAATAACAGCAATTCCCTGAACTATAGATGTTTAAATGTACGGGTGTGCAAAGAAGCAGAAAGACATTGTTTCTGCCCATCGAGACAGAGGTTTGTTATTTTAAAAGGTTATTCAGCCAATACATTTCCCTGAGCAGTCTGATACCCTTCCCAACTGCCCTGACCAAGAGACTCTCCGCACTGCTGTTCC